ATTGCAATAAAACGGCAATTTCATACTTTAACCCCTAATATATATTGTGTACGCATGTATTTATGTACGTAAAGTTTATTTAGGTTTATATTTCAGCCATATTTATATTGTCATCATTGATAATTATATTTACACTTTTTTAAATAAATTAATAGCACAATACTGTCCCGCAGACTTAGTTTATTCACTACAGCTAGGGTTGGCTGGAAGAGATCTCTTCTAGAGATAAGCACACCTTTGTAATGTCTTCTGTAACTTGTAATTTTTAATGTCATTTATTTGTGCAATAAAGAATAATTTTTTATTGAACTGATATTCAATTATATTTTAGGTGAAATTATTCCACTATATAGTTATAATTATTAATACAAAGATGGAACACTCAGAAACAATTCTTTCAATCCGGCCGGATTCGACATTTCAGAGTTTCCTTTATTTTGAAACTATAAAAAGTATATTTTTGTTCAAATTTTAGTAGCTCTTAGGAAAGTTGTAATATAACAATGGCTGTTACAAAAGACTGCTTATCTCTAATAAAAAAAAAAAACATTTTGTATAAAACTTTGCTTGATGTAATTTTATACATTTCCTTTTAATATTAAAATGAATTTTACGATGATATTTATTAAACAACGTACTAAAATGGCCCTCGAAGTTTCGGTCTCACAGACTGTGCGCGGGTATACATATGTGTTACACTATTCTGCGCGGGCATAGGAAGGTTAAGTAGAGAGACAAAACAAAGTGAGAATGACGAGGCAAAGAAATTAAAGAACGATTCAAAATTTGAAAATAAGTGGAACCAGAGCAAAGGTGATAAAAGGGGGGGAAGACGATGGAGGAGGTCGCATCGCCACAAAATTATCGCTATATATTTTACATGACCTTAGGGTATCTAAAATACGTTTTTCATAAATACTTGCATGGGCCTAAGGCAATATATTTAATACATTTTAATGTGCATTGGCCGGTTTGCGCTTTTCGTAATTTGCTTTTACTTAGGAGGTTAAATAAAAAGAAAACCACTTTGAGATCAGTCCATCCGTTTGGAAGATACGAAACTACAGAGAGACATCTCTTTTTCACCTCTCTTTTTAGATCAGAGGTTAAAAATAAAGAATTTCTTACTTGCATTCATGTTGCTTTGCAGTGTAGGGTTCGTAGTTGTGGTACTTGAGAACACCACCTAATTTAGTGACGATGAAACTAAAAAAAAAAACCGTATTTTTAGACGCGATTAGTGCTATAATAGCAATTGGCTGTCTAATTTTGTAAAAACACTGCTGACGTTGAGTAGAGAAAAAACCTAGTTTACAATCTTTTCTATCGGGTATATCTCGGGGAGTGTGCGCAGGAACTTTTTAATTTAGTTCCACCCTTATCGTTCCTCCTTCGGTCGACTAGAAGGTCCGGAACACTCCATCTTTATGTCGTTGATATACCACCTATTCACACTAAGCGCTTTGCTTCCTTCTTTCTGATGCATACGGCAAAGGTATGAACACTCTACAACATCTGTGTTTACCGAAAAGTACAATTTGGGGCTATTCAAGGCTAGAGTGAATAGGCATTTTTTTAGGCAAACGCGTACCATCGTCTGTCACATCGTCGCTTAACATCAGGTGAGATTGTGGCCAAGGGTGTGTCTATTATATATTTAAAAAAATCTCGTTTCCTTTAGTAAATAATAATAATAACGTGCACTCTTATAACCCCGCACTAAGGAAACCCTGTATCGGGGATGCCATGGACACACACATAGACAACTACAAATCACAGCCAAACTCACGAGAGATATGAATGTAGGCTGTTACAAATGTTTCTTCCGGACCGGGAATCGAACCCGGGACCTCTGCATGGCCGTCCAGCCTGGCATCCATTCGGCCACTGAGGCAGTAAATATCTATGTTGACTGCATGTGCGTGAACATTAGCAACGTCAGACAAATTTAGCTGATCTCATTTTGAACTTACTTATTAACAGGTTAAATATAATAATATCAAAAACGTAAACAAAGACTCCATCAGCAAAATTACTAGAATTTCTGTGTTAGTTTCCAAAAATAATTTATCTGTTTTCATGTGAATAAAAACGTCATCAATACCTGAAAACACTGAGCAAAGAGGCTCCACCGCGGCAGCCGCCGCTGTCGGAGTCACAATCTATTAAGAATTGCTCCGATAATACGTATTCTTTGTTCAAGTAGATCTTCAGCATGCTCTCTATGTTTGCTGCACAGACAACGGAACAGGGTTTTGTAATTTATAATTAATTAATTAATAAATCCATTTGAAACTTTCATAAAAAGAATTAATCATTTCATAATTGTATGAATGAAATACTGGCAGTCAGATCCAAAGATGCAAAAGGAAACTTTTACAGAACCTTTTCAGGAAGCCCGTCATAAACGGTGGTAATTCGAGGTTGTAGCTACGTAAACTTTGAAATGCAACTCAAATAATTTTTATTTCATGGACAAACAAATTACACTTGAAATTATCACGTTGATTAAACTCTACTGATCATTCCTAAGGCCGATTCTCCTTAGCCGCTTACGCGATGCGCTCCTCCTACCGCAAAATGGCGGCTATTTGGTTTCGCAATATAGAAAAGGATTCAGTTTAAATACAAGTTTTTATAAATAAAAATTATAATTCTGCATTGCTAAATAAATACCCTCCGTACTACCAACAAAACATCTCAAATAAAATGCAATAATACACCGCAAATCCTGGACTTAAAAAGCACTAATGAAATTTTTGGTGTACTTGGATCAATATGATAATATTCCGTTTGAGTGGTTCTAACGTTTACCATGAAATTACTCCTTAAAGTATAGTTTATAAACATTTATATTCAGGGTAAACTTAAAAAACGCTACTTACGGTATGTTTTCAATAAGTAAACACCGAAATCACCAGCCCAAACAATAACACACACGATTGTCGTGACGTATTTTTGAAGTCGTTTATTTTTTTTTAATGACAGACCTAGGCATTAAAAACTTTATAGTTTGCTAGAGTAGTTACCGAAATAGCAATTAGTATTAGTTCTTTTACCTGTTATAACTTCGATATCCGATAAATCGGTATAAAATCATCACCGGCACCTCTAGGTGTGGTATGCGTCTACGGCTGCATGTATCGCGTGAGCGGTTAAAAAATGAGTATAAAACTCTAGAGGTTGCTCTTAGTAATACACATTTGTATTCGTTTATCAGTTACAATAATATTTATTTCAAATATGATCGATCAAGAGAACTCAGAAGGGCTAAACAGGTCATTACTATAGCTTTTTGTCATCCAAGCACGTAAAAGCTGTACAATAATCTTTAAAGATTTTGTTTCTCTATAGGTTTAAACCTAGTCTAATCTAATCGCAAATTTTGAATATCCAAGATTCAAGTGCGATATGCAATGATATGATACTAGATTGTTTGGGTCTACGGAAGATAGTAGATAAAAAAAATAACGCACACACTGAACATAGTCCCTGTTGAATATAAGGTTAAGAAAACTTTAAAATAATGTTTTTATTATATAGAAATAAAATGCTCGTTACGCTTGTACAAATTTTGGAAGAGAGAGAAATGGCCACCGGTGTTGACCACAACAAAAATTACCAGTGTTGCTACAATAAGACTAAAAATATTTACTATTTTATTCATATTAATATTATTATACAAATAAACTAAAATTAAACTAAGCTTTTATTTCTGTACTGAACAGTCCCTCACTAGGGAAACCCTGTGTCGCGGGTGCCATAGACACACACATAGACAACCACAAAATACATTCTCAAATCAAATTAAACTCACGAGAGAAATAAATGTAGACCATACAAATATTTCTCCCGACCTAATCGAATCTGGGACCTCTGCGTGGCAGCAGTGGTAACCGTTCGGCCACAAAGGCAGTTAAAATTTAGTTAGAATTTAGATTGACGCTTTCACTTACTCTCTCGCCCCATATCTGTTATATCTAGCCCGCTACTGAGTGACTATGTATTCTGTGTGGTCCTATTGGCAAATGTATGACCCTTAAGTGAATTATTATAATTTTATCTGAATAATCTTCTCTTACTAGAATTTCACTTACAATTAATTTTTGGTTATACGTTTAATTAAGTAACTCATGTCTTCACTGCAACTTACCAACCGCACTAAAAGCCCAGCATGCTTGGCATCTTTGCTGATCTTTTACTGGAGACACTGCCTTCTGGTCTCTCCAATCGAAGTAATCTGGAGGTGCACTATTGTGTACAGGCATTGGTAGACCAGTGCTTCTTTTATCAACTTTGCTGGCAAGGCCAGTCATATTACCAAGATTATCAATATTCCATGTAATATTTACTTTATAGCTAGGTATGTAAATTCGATTTTTTATGTCTTCAGAATTCTTAGATATTGTTTTTGTAAAATCACACGTGTTTCTTGAATGCGTCGTTTTGTTTATTTTACGTTTAGAGTCTCGAGTTTGTTCTTCTAGTAATTCAGTAAACCTTACTTTCTTCACAGCTGGAATGGTCTCTGTTTTCTTCTCCTCTTTAATGTTTGGTTGTTTGGAGCGTTTATTATTTTCTCTAACTACATGTTCTCCTGTGTTGTTCTTAAATTTAAATTTTGTTAAGTCAATTAAATTTGTGCTTTTAAATAATTTTGGCATTACATTGTTATCTTCAATAGAATATTTTTTTAAATATTCTTCCTGGCAAGAACTAGAAATTAGAAACAAAAGTACACTCGCAAAGAAAATTGTACGCAACATTTTCGATTAAATATAAAAGGCTGTTTCAAGACTCACCTTTTAAATTGTCATTTTATAATCCTTTCGGAGCTATTTGTACGATGTCAGGTTTACAACTTTTTTATTGCTGTTTTTTTATTTAAGCGCTTCAGCACCGAGTGTCGGGCATTCCTGAGAGCATTTATATTATTTAAATCCGACGTTAAAGGTTATTTATTACTTGTGTTTATCTGTTTGAATGCTGATGTTTTTATGAGGAAACTTAATTTTTATGACTCTTGAATGTTTCATTTTATTGTCGCTTTCCTTTGCCTTACAGTAGTTATTCGTTAATTGTTATTGTTATGGAGTACAACAAATCGTAGCCTTGGTATAATAAAGGCACAAGTGAACATACGTCATAAGTTCTTTTACCACACGAAAATCATAAAAATAATACAAATTACATGAAACAAATTATGTGTAATGTGAAATTTCATAACGTAAAATACTTAGACCTTTTTTTCTGAAAAGTCGTCATTTTACAGATGTAACCTTATTACATAATTACATATTGTAATAAGGTCAAAAATTTGTCATTATTTAATAATGACAAATTTTTAGCCAACTTCAAAAAGGAAGAGGTTCTCAATTTGTCTGTATTTTTTGTGTGTATGTTACACGATTACTCCGATGGTTGTGAACCAATTTCGATAATTCCTTTTTTTGGTGGAAAGGCGGTACCTCAGCAGTGGTCAATTGAAATTTGACGAAAATATTCCAACTCTAAGGGTGACAAATTAGGGTATGAATACGGTTTATTGGATTTCATCAACTTTCCGTTGACCGATTTTAATAAAACTTATATAAATATTTGTAATTCCACAAACTTTTGAGGTCGGCTTTTTTAAATAAAAAATTTAAAATTATCCCAGTTACTATGACTAGTGTCACGTCAAATCACATTGATTTAGTAACGTATTTGAAAGGTAATTTTTAAAATATTGACAAAGGAACAAGTTGGCTAAAAATCCGTGCATTTTTTGTACAAACTTTAAACAAAAAAATAACTTTTTGGCTAAAGAGTCGTCAAAAACCAGATACGAAGATCGGACAAACAAGCACATAGAGTGAGGTCCGCTGTTTCGTTCCGTGGCTTAGTTGGCATAGCGTCTGGCACGGTCTGCTAGAAAGTCGGTGACGTCGGACCGAAGGAATTTTTTTAATCGTTCGATCTTTGTATTAATAATTATAACAAACTAGCGGAGTAATTTCACAAAATAATTGAATATCATGGTGATCAAACATCCTGACATCCAATTAAAATGTTCATTGTATTTTTAAAAATAAAATTTTAAAGCATTGATTGGTGGGAAAGTTATAAGTTTATAATTCATGAAAACGCCCAGAACTGGTGAAGCGTAAAAGCCGTCGTATTTCTATGCCAAACCACACCCATCTTTACAAAGCCGTTTAAAACTATTACAGTGGAGTTGGGATGTGTTTCCTCATCCACCATATTCGACCTATATATAGCCCTTACACATTTTACTTGTTTCGGTATTTTCAAAAGAAATATTGAAAAGAAAAGAAATCCGTCGAATCTGGAAAAATATAAATTCGTACTGTAGATGCCAATATGTAGCGGCAATGTATATCTCACATAATCAGAATTCGGTAAGGGTAGGCACCATTAGAGGAAAAAACCTTAATATCGAGATGAAGACAGGGCGTAAAATAGGACAATGACATTTAGCGAATTTTTATCGAATTTCCAAAGAGCTTTATTACTTAATTGGACATTCCTTTTTCTATTTTTTTAATCAAAGTGTACCACATTCAAGACTCGTGTCCTGGTAATCTATAAATGTGTACACACCGCTAGTCCAGATTTTGGTTAAAAATATATTTTTTATAATAAATAATACAAATTCGTTCGTTCGATCCGGCTGAATTCGAACCAACGTCTTCCAGCAAACCGTGCCATTATGTCAATTAAGCCATGGAACGAACTAGGAAACCTTACGAATCCTTGAATGTACTTGTTGAAGATCGTTGTTTTTGGATTGTAACGAGTTTATTGCCGTTGCGTCATCTGTGAGAAATTTATTTCTTCACTCAGGTACTTTTATTGCTACCAGCAGCTAACTAGAGATTTCGCTTTAATAATTGTAATATTATATAATTGAATGTCACGATGTTTGACCATCATGATATTCAATTAACTGTCTCCGTGGCCGAACGGTTACCATGCCGGACTGCTATGCAGAGGTCCTGGTTTCGATTCCCAGGCCGGGAGAAATATGTGTATGGCCTACATTTATTTCTCTCGTGAGTTTGGGTGTAATTTGTGGTTGTCTATGTGTGTGTCCATGGCACCCGCGACACAGGGTTTCCCTAGTGCGGGGCTATGTTGAGTGTGTGCGTTATTATATAAAAAAAAAATTTCATCATCATCATCATCATGTCAGCCAAAAGACGTCCACTGCTGAACATAGGCCTCCCTCAAAGATTTCCGAGAAGACGTTCATCCATCGGTTACTCGCCGCCCTTACCAGGTCTTCTGTGCTTCTAATAGGGGGCCGTCCCACTGAACGCCTTCCGGTTCGTGGTCTCTATTCAAGAACCTTTCTGCCCCAACAGCCGTCAGTTCTACGAGCTATGTGCCCTGCCCACTGCCACTTCAACTTGCTAATCCTTTGAGCTATGTTAAGCTACGAGTTATGCTAAGCTACGAGCTTCAAATTTTAAAGAAATAACAAATTCTGAATTGTTAATATAATTTAAACTTTACCCTGTTGGCACATCGTTGAAAGTTCTATACCATCACTACCTATTATTGCAAGTTACGACGTTTTGATATTATATTGAAATTTCATTCAATGTGCTGCCATCTAGCGGTTAATTGCTGAACGACGACGAATTGCAGTTATTAATTTAGTTGTCCAAAAAAGAAGCGACCATGTTGCAGGAGTACAAGCTTTACTTTTGTTTCTTGTAGCAAAAAATATTTCGATAAACAGAAAATTGAAAATATATTAAAATTAGACTTTCTGGTGATATGAAAATTAAATACCACCACGGGTAATATATTTGGTGCAGCTATTATTTTTCTACTCCAAAACAGCACAATATGGCATTTTTCTAGGGTTTTCTAAACCTGTAGTTTCAAATTCTCTAGAATTTACACGAAAGAATGACCCAATTATACCATACAAAGCGAAAATGGCGGAATGTGCTCAGATAGGTCTTTCGACACCTATAGTTGTAGTATAGTATAGTTGGCACGTGTCGGAAACGTTAACTTGACTAACCACTTCTACTGTATTTATTGTTCTGTGCTCTGCACCGTGTGGCTTGGCACGGTAAAGCACCAAAATCGTTAAGAACATCGTGTGCCTTTAGGACGTGTGCGTCACGGTTTAATAATTAACTAGGTCGGTACCTACTTAGCACGACACTTCTCACACAGATCAGAGTCACTTGGAAAACAATAACAACACGATTCTTAATTTGGTTTCATAATTTGTTATTACATGTACGACGTTTTTTAATTGTAGAACTGCATCTTCTTCACAGATAGGATGTTTATTATGTACCTAGGTATTTACTAATGAGTTCATGACGTATATATCATACGTGGGGCGCACTATAAGTTTCCGGAATGGATAAGAAAAAATACTATAAATGGTCAGAAACGAATTTATTGTTTCTCACAAGTGTATTAACGCTAATGGAGAATTCCATTAGCCTTAATACACTTTTTCATGTGAATGAATCAATTTTGAAAACATATATGCCACTCCTCCGTGACAATCTCTCAAACATATTTTTCATACTCTTGGACAGCCTCTTCAGGTGATGAAAATCGTTGACTGCGTAACTGGTTCTTAATTTTGGAAATAAATAAAAGTCACAAGGTGGGACTGTACGCGGGATGAATCTTGAGATCAACGTTGTTCACCTTACTTTTTACGGAGTTTGTCAATAACTTCCGGCAAACAAATGTCCAAAAAAACCAATCACTATTCACGGTACAACGATTTTCCAAAGCAACAGTAGCCACGTGTCCAGTTTTATTAAAAAAAGAAGCAATCATCCGCTTAGAGGCACTTTGCCCGCGCGCCACTTTGGTTGGTTTCGGCTCATCACGAATGACCCATACATTGCTCGATTGCTGCTTTGTTTTTGAACGTAACTATAAATCAATGTTTCGTCACCTGTTACTATGTCCCACACCAAATTTGACGCCCCTTCGTTGAATCTGGTAAGCATGGCATTGCAACAAGTGACGCGATCCGTTTTTTGAGCCTCAGTCAAATTGTGTGGGATCCACCGAGAGCACAGCTTTTTCATACCCAAATGTTTGTGTAGTACTGATTGTATTTCACTCATGCCTATGCCCAAAGATGCCCGAATATCATGATATGTCACATGCCTATCTGTTTTGATCGCACAGCATCGGATGTTTTTGTTGTTCACAGCAGTGGACGGGCGACCACCACGAAATTCGTCACCGAGATTCACACGACCGTGTTTGAATTCTGCATACCAACTATAAATAGTCGTCTTGCGTGGTGCTTCATTGCCAAAAGCAGTTTGAAGCCGAGCGAAGTTCTGCTGAGCTGTAAAATTTCACTTACAGTAGTAGAAAATCATACTACGAAAATTTTCACGAGTTAAATCCATGGTGATGTAGACAACCAATTAAATGACGCCACAATGTAAAAACAAGTGACAGTCAGATGAAACAAACTGTATTCTACGGCCAAAGAGTTCCATTTTCAAATGTTTTAATTACTTTTTAAATATTGTTTATGTAAGTGGCCAGTTCCGGACACTTATAGTGCGCCCTATGTATAAGTATAAAAGCGCACATAAAATTGAGTTTTTTGTGTCCGCCATTGCGCTACCTCATTGTCTTCTGTGCAAGTTTTAATTGACTTATTTAACTTCAACCAGTAGCATTTGACCTTCGATTAGGGTAATCAATCATTCATTCTAATAGCAATTTCCTGATGAAAGGATTTTTAGTAGCAGTATAGATTCTTGTTAA